CAAACAGTCAACAGACGATGATTTGTATTACTATTATTAACAGAATCTTGAAAGTCCGTGAACCACAGGGCAGATTTTCCACCTTTTCTCAGAGACTAACCCTCCTATTTGCATCACCTTTTCGGTAGCTGAAGTTTCTCTGGTTTTCCCTGCTTGTTGATTATTGTGATGGTTAATTTTGTGTGTCAATTTGACTGGGCCACGGTGCCCAGATATTTGGTTAAACGTTATTCTGGGTGTTACTGAGGGTTTTGGTTTTGTTTTGTTTTAGGATGATTCTTTTCTTATTTATTTATTTATTTTTACATATATTTTATTTTATTTTTTCCAGCTTTATTGAGATATATTTGACATATGATATTGTGTAAATTTAAGGTGTACAAGGTGATGATTTGATACATGTACATATTGTGAAATTATTACCATGACAAGGTTAGTCAATATCTCCAACCCCTCACTCAGTTACTCTTTTTTTGTGTGTGGTGAGAACATTTAAGATCTGCTCCCTTAGTAAATCTCAAGTTTAAAACACAGTGTTGTTGATGATAATCACCGTAGTGTACACGAGGTTCCCAGAACTTATCCATCTTATAACTGAAAGTTTGTACCTTTGATCAACATTACGCCTTTCCCCCACCCCTCAGCCCATGGTAACCAACATTCTACTGTCTGTTTCTATGAGTTTAGCTCTTTTAGATTATACACATAAGTGAGGTCATACAGTATTTGTCTGTCTCTGGTGTGAAACAACAAAAAATTATTCTCTCATAGGTCTTTGTTTATATCTGTATCTGTATCTATATCTATATCTATATCTGTATCTAATTTTGCTCACAACAATCCTATAGGGTAGAACTCTAAAGCAGATACTTAGAGAAGGTAAATAATAGAGAAGGTAAGTAAATATCAAAATTTCCGTAATAATTGGTGGACACTGGATTCCAACCCAGTTTTACCTCTCTGCAGGGTAAGCACCATTAACCGTTATGCTATGCTTTGGTGCATCTCTAGATCACCCGGCACGAATAGAGGACTAAAAATCAATCAGACAGCATGCTTGACTAGTCAGGGATCTTGATTACAAACAACAAAAATGGGCATTGGTTAATTTAGACAGAATAGCAACTTATTGGAAGGTGTATCAAGAGAGGATTATGACTACTGAAAACTATGTGAAAACTTCAAAGCTTAAGAAAATAAAAGTTTGGTTCCTGCCAAGTGCAGGTCCTGGAGGAGGGTCTCTGCTCCCCTCAGTGATTCAGGGCCCCACGTCCTTCTGTGTGGTGGCTCTCCTCTCTTTTGACTCTAGAGTTCTCTGCCATTTCCTCTACATCTGGGTGAAGTGGGAGCATGGGGCAGAGGGTTCACATGGAGGTTCTAGGGGTCAAGTCCAGCACACTCTATGACCACCAGAATCTATCTAAACTGCCCCTGTCTCTGTGTCATTTTCTCTTGGATGAGAGTAACAGAGAGTCATATTCCTGAATATTGCATTCAGGATTCCCAGCTGCTAGGATTCTGAGATTCATTCCACAAATATTTCTTATGCATCCTCTATACGCCAATGTCTGTTTCTTGATGCTGAGGATACAGCAATGAACAAGACAGACAAAGACTCCTGCATTTACCAGAGATAACTTATTTGTTAAATACAAGATAACTCTATTTTTCACTAGAATCTGTTGTTTAGATCCAAAAGATGTGTTTAAACTATACATCTTTTTAGATTGTTAATTTTCTGTGTCTTTTTTCTCTTGAAGACTTTAAAATTTAAAAACCTGCAAAAACAAGAATTCAAATACTTATTATATGGCACTTTGAAATTTAATGTTTCAACAGGCCTTATGGCATTTCCCATCCCACTAATGTCTGAAGTTTTATATTTCAGTAAGTCCACTATAAAATAAACGGTGGATGAACAGCTGACTTCTTGGGGATTAAGTATTGTTCATGCATTATGGAAACAAATTTAAAAGCATACTTCACAGCTTTGACGGCTATTTTTCATTTGAGCCTTGGAGGCAAATTGCATTTATGTAAGAACGTCAATAGTTTCTTAGGATCCTAAATTCTTAAATAGGAATAGATAAGAGCAAAAAAAAGAAACCTTCATAAGCTTATCTCAAAAATGTCTTCTAAAACTTGCAAAAAGAGAACAGACTTATTTTAAGGAAGTATTTGAACAGCTGACAATCTGAAAATTAATCAAGGACTGTCATTTTTAATTTAAAAATATCTATTTACCCTATAAGGGGCAATGATTGGGAATGACAAAGCAGATGAAGGGAAAGGGGACCCCACCTCTGGAGTCCCTGGAAGAGACGAGAAAGAAAAAGAAGGAGAAGTTCACAGTGGACCCTGACCAGGTCCTTCCCAAAGTTAGTTATAGGGCCTCAGGCAAGCTACTTAATTTGATTTCTTTTGAGCCTTGATTTCTTCTTCCATAAAAGAGAAATAGTAAACAAAACTTGCAAGCTTGCTATGACGATTCAGTGAGACCATGTATGTAATCCAACGGTTACACTGCCTCACATATAGTAGATTTTCAATAAATAAAGAATCTTTTCTCTTGGGAGATCTCTTGCTTGTGCCATGGAGCAGGGGTGGGGTGGGGTGGGGTGGAAGGAGAAAGTGAAGATTCTATGGTTCTTCAACCACAGGAGAGTAGCTATAAGTGAAATGTCAATCATTGCAAAAGGGCCATTTCACGGATATCGGAAAATCAGCTAAGAGGTCGTTGATTTCTCAGGGTGAAGGTGGGACATTTTGTGTGTCTTTGCAGTTGTCAGAAGACCACAAACAGGAACAATAAGTCACAAGAAAGAACGGCCCGGGAGGTGTAAGGGAATCTTTCAAGATATCGAAATTTGCTTTGGAATAGCCAACGAGAAGCCACACCATGTTAATATTTGTGCGAAGTAACGGAAAACTGCAGTAAATGAGACTCTTCTGGTGGAGGACAATTATTAAACGTATAAATGCATGCCCATGATTGAGATACGCCATTTTCTGAAAGGTATATTTTCTGCATCCCAGGATAGAAGTCAATTTTATAACTCTTAGTACCTTTTTCTTACATTGTTAATTTTTAAAAATTGTGGATATAGCTATTATATCATAAAATTTGCCATTTTTATGTGCACAATTCAGTGGCATTACTCTCATTCACAATGCAACCATCACCACTACCTACTTGCAAAATTTTTTGTCGCCCCAAACAGAAACTCTGTACCCATAAAGCAAGAAATCCCCATTGTTCCCTTCTCCCAGCCACTAGTAACCTCTACTTTCTGCCTCTATGAATTTGCCTATTCTAGATATTTCATATAAACGGAATCATACAATATTTTTTTCCTTTTTGTCTGGCTTATTTTGCTTAGTATGATGTTTTCAAGGTTTGTCCGCGTTGTAGAGTGTATCAACTTCATTACTTTTTATGGCTGAATAATATTCCATTGTATGGGTCTACTACTATTTTGTTCATCCACTCCTCTGTTGATGGACACTTGGATTGCTTCCTCCTTTGGGCTATTGTGAATAATGCTGAAAAGAACATTGTCACTGAAGTATTTGTTCAAGTCCCTGCTTTCCATTCATTTGGACATATGCCTACAAATGGAATTTCTGGGTCATGAGGTAATTTTATATTTAACTTTTTGATCTTAACACCTTTTTATATGATAAAAGTCTTATAGCCATGTAACTCTTTGCAAATTAGTTAATACACTTGATGCACGGTTTCTGAAAATGGTGACAATAATATTTACCTCATGGGGTTGTTATAAAGATTAATGATGATGTGTGTAAAGCACAAAGCATAGTACCTGTCACAAGTGTTCAATAAACTATAATTGTGAAGAAATAAAACTTGTTTATTTCCTGAATGGCTCCAGAAAACTATGACCCCACTCTGGAGTAAACTGCCATGGACTGTACCATGTACGCAGCTCCCTTCAGCCTCATCACCCTGGTCCATGTGGTTCATATCTGAGCTGCTTTGAGCCTCATTCTAACACTTTATCTCATCAGCATTATAAACTTAAAAAGCAAATTTGCCCATTGTTTTATCTCAAAATGAGTTTATTTGGGGACAGCCAAAAGAATTGCAATTCCAGGATGTGCATGCGATGGCAAACCATAGGCAAATCCAAGAATCAAAGAAAGGGAGATGCCTTTATAGACAAAAAGGGGGAGTTTGTTCTAAACAAAAGTCCATGGGGGGAAAGAAACAGTTCCAGGCAGCAACAGCTTCTCACTGGCTGAGCTGAGCCATTCCTCATTGGCTGGGCTACTGCTGGGTGAGGAGGGACATCTTCCTCCAGTAGTAAAGTAGTTTTACTTCCTTTTGATGCAGGTGTCTGTCTCCTCTTAGTTGTTGTAATTGACCATGTGTGATAGGGTGTGAGAGCTCCCCCTGCAGGCCTTTCTGACTCGAATTCAGTTAAGGTTTCTTTTATTAATTTCCACAACCTATCTCAGGTCCCACTTCAATTATAATTTTTTTTTCTGTTTTTTAAAAAATTCTCTATTAAGGTAACACATTTTTAACAGACTTTATTTTTTAGAGCAGTTTTAGGTTCACAGCAAAATTGAGTGGAAGATACAGAGATTTCACATATACCCACTGCCTCCACACATGCACAGCCTCCTCTGTTGTCAAGATTCCCCACCAGAGTGGTACATTCGTTACTGTCGATGAACTTACACTGACACATCAGTATCACCCAAAATCCATACACATTTTTTTAAAGGGGGCCTAATTTTACACAGCAAGTAAAAGTGCTGAGGCCAGAATATAGGTTTCCGTATCAAAACCCCATAATCCATAATCCATAATACAAACCCCAAGTTATTTACAATCAGATCACCTTCAACTCATATCTTGGGGAAAAAACTCTTTTAATGAGGGTCCTACCTCCTCCTTTCCCAACAAAGACTGTAGATTCCTTCCCATGAGAATGATTAAACTTCTTCATCGCCACCCCCAATAAATCCCACCATCAGTTGCAGTATTTCCAAACCTTGTCCTTGTTATAATTTTGGGTCAGCGAACACCATTCTTTCCCAAATGCGTCCCCATCTTCAGTGCATTCCCAGTAGATCATGCGTCTGTACCAGAAGGGAAACACACATTTTGCAAAATCTACAGAGAAGAAAGAAGCCATCAGAATAAGAAATATTTCCATTTTGTAACTCCTCTCTGCCATAGCGTGCACACACGCTTCCCACCCGGCACCGTCTGCTCTGCTCTGGTCCACCAAAAGCATAAGGGAACTTTATTGGTGGGGGATTGAGGTTCTACTGAAAGGTTTCTTTTCAAGGTAGTGTGGTTGAAGCCCTCATAATATATCTTGAGTGCAATGTGATTTTCACACTGTCAGAGAACTGTGCATACTTTATTTTCACAATTTAATTGACTGTGGATTCCCTTTTCAGAACCCTGTTAGGGATCTCCCCAAACCTCTGGTGGCAACCAGAATTACCACCTTGAGGTATGCAGAGGCAAGACACTCACCTTCTTCAGAACAATACTTCCAGTACCCTTGGTAAGTCTCATTTAAGGAGCACCACTTGTGTTTTGCGTTGAACTTGACACAGTCATAGAACTTTCCATTTCTATAGTAGAATGGAAAGATACATTTGCCATCTAGAGAAAACAAAAATTCTTCATTCCTCTCTGGGAGTGTTAGTTGAGATGTTACAAAGTTACTCTCCTCCTACTGGTGGTTGCACTTGGAATCAGAGCCACTGCCTGTGGTTCTACTGCACGTTATTGAGTCACATAGCAGAGATGTTGGGCATCTTCTAATAAAGTTGTTTTGTTTTATGCCCCTGCTCCTGTCCCACTTTTTTCCATGGCATAAACAGTCTTGAAATTTTGTTTAGCATTTGGCCCCAGTTCCAGAAATCTACCCTAAGCTTAGAGACGCAAATGTGAGCATTTACCTAGTAAACAATTTTCCCCCTGTGTCTCTTTTCTTCACCCTCTTCTGCCATTATACACACTCACACACACACACACAAAATGTATATGGCCTGGTTTGTATCTTTCCACACTTCTCTCCATGCCCATATGGATCTATCTAGTATCTATCTATCTAGATAGATATACATACATCTATCTAGATATATATATATGGATGCATATATGTATACACACGTATCCATCAATACAACATATATATAACCATACAACATATATGTCATCATACATATTATATATAACATATTACATGTAATATACATATATATGTGTACATATATATGTATATATGTCCCCCACAGGCAGACATACACAGATATTTGCTCCCTCCCAAAATGAATTATACTTTATATCCATAACTTGAGTTTCTAACTTAACAGATCATAGACATCCTTTTAACTTTTGTAGCTCTAACTCCTTTCTGCTGATTGATATCCTGTGATATGGATTTTGCCACAATTTACTCAATATTTCCCATATCCAGATTTTTTTCCCCTCTGTAAATAAAGCTGCAGCAAACATTCCATGCATGTAAATCCTTATAGAAGCATTTGTTCCTATAGAATAGAATCCTCAAAGCAAGGTTCTTAGGTTAAAGTGCACATGAGTTTTTAACATCGATGGGTACTGCTTTCTCAAAGGACAATAGCAATTCATTTTTTTCCACTAATGTGCTTTTTTACCTGGATTTTCACCAGCATGAAGAATTTATACACTTTTTAAATGTTTACCTTCATAGCAGATGATCCTTGTCTTGTTTTAAAAGATCTCCTGATCGGGCGTACCTATATTTTCCTCTTAAATTAGATGATTTTGTTTCTTTTATATTTAAAGTTGAATTAAACAGGAATTTAGTTTTGTATATATTGCAAGAGGGGAGTGCAACTTTATTTTCTTCCAC